GGAGCAACCTTTTCCGGATCTCCATGTAAACCGCCCTCATCAACAACAAATCCGAGGTACTGAACCCGAGAACTACAAAACACACATTTGTCAGGATTAACTTCTAATTCAGCTTCCTGCAACCTTACATAAATTTCCGCCAATACTTCTAAATGTTTCTCAAAGGTCTCGGTGGTCACAATTATATCATCAAGATATGCAAAACAGTGTGGCTCTATATCTGGCGTAACGATCTTATCAACCAGACGTTGAAAAGTTGCCGGTGCGTTTGTCAACCCAAACGGCATTCCCACATACTGATAAAAACCTAGACCAGGAACGACAAAAGCAGTAAACTCACGAGAATTCCTATCCACCGGTACCTGGTGGTACGCTTTCTTCAAATCGAGCATCGTAATAAATCTCGCGGACCGCAACTTGTCCAGAATACAAGTCAAATGTGGAATCATGTATCGATCTTTCTCCGTGATTTTATTCAATTTCCTATAACCAATACACATCCTAGACTTGTCCTGCTGTTTAACCATCACTCCTGGATTTGTCCAGAAGCTGGATGATTCCTGAAGTATGCCTAATTCTAACAATTCCAGAGTCGGTCGCTGCATTTCCGACAGAATAGGGGGTGATACCTGATAAATCCGCTGCTCAATTGTCGGATGATCGCTGGGACCAATAATTTCGTGTGTAATTAAAGGGGTGAACTCCGATTTATTCACACGTCGGTATCGATATTTATGAACCAATATTTCAATGCGTGCACGCTCTTCCTCAGAAGTTTTCGACAAACCAGCAATCTCAAAATGCGAATTCCCAATAAGAGAGCCAAAAGAATAGCGTTCATTTTTCCCGGTCAACCACCATTCCGAAGTGCTACCGTCGATAACTATCCCAAAAATTCGCAGTGTCTCGACACCCAAAATCGGTGGATCCCTCAGCCCAGGTATGATCAGAAACTCCATATCGTATTTCACTCCTTTTAAACCGACTGATAAAACAACCGTGCCGTAGACTATTTCCTTCGCCCCATTCGCACATATAATGGTCGAAGCTGACGAACGCGAAATAACTATACCCAAATCTTTAATCCAATCCTTTGGAACGTTACGGATACATGAACTTGAAGCACCAGGGTCCAATAACACGTTAATACTCACTGATCCAATCATGATTGGGAGAAATATACGCGAATGAACCGTCAGACCAAAGAAGCAACTGCGTTCAACAATCTCTGGTTGATCAGACCTCGGACTGCCGTCTTGCTCCTTTTCAGTCATCTCTCGTGAATAATCTGTAACTCCAAAATCTGGAATCGAAATTCCATTATTATTTTTATTCGTGATTTCCGTAGACTGACCTTTTCGTGCCGAATCAAAACCTAAACCTACCAAATCAGTTCCAAAATGAACAGAAGATAATGCGGAACCCATATTCATTGCCCTCCGCTGGGGTTTCCCGAAACTCCGTTCTTCGGTGGACATCTAGAACAATGAGGCAACTTAACCCCAATCTTTCCACAACCGAAACAAAACAGGCCAACGGATGGATTCGATCAACCCGCACGAAAATGCCCCATTTGTCCACAATTATGGCATAACCCTGGTCGACCAGCGGAAGCTGCAGCATTCCCTGACGACACGCCATCGATAGAAATCACAGGAGTCGATACATGAGCAGTTATACCAGCAGTAGCGGAACTGGAGACTCTCTCTTTCCTTTTTCCTCCACCACGTCTTCTTGGTAGACCTCCTTTGATGATTATTGAGAACTCTTCTTAGCTGATAAATCGACAGCATACACCTGAGCTCCACCCTGCTTTTTCTCACGCCGATATTTCTCAGGCATGTAAGCACAACCAGGGAAGATAGTATCTCCCGCTGCTGGTGGGGCCGTCAAAGATGGTAAATCTCGACGTTCGTCGAAATCCTGTACGAGATCTCCAAGTTCATCAAAAAAAGAAAACTGACGTCGAGAAATCATATGATGATATGCACGCCTCAAATTCCCAAAAGCAATATCAAGCATCGCCTCAACCGAAAAATTAACATCCTGAGAGTGAGTCCACATCAAACGAACATTATCGAAATAGTCAGAAGCACTTTCTAATTCTCCTTGAGTTCTAACCAAAATATCGTGAACTGCACGCCATCTCTTCGACTCTGAATTCGAAAATCGACGTAGAAACGCTGTCCGAAATTCCGAATAATTAGTAAATCGTCCTCGTCGATCCTCCCACCAATTAAGAGCGATGTCCCTCAATAAAACTGGAATAACTCGAAATAAATCATCATCACTCATATTACAAGCATCTTTACAAACTGCGACTTTTCTCAAAAATTCCTCGATATTCTCGCCCCGATAACCAGAAAAATGGAGATGGCAAGATTGAACACGATCATGAGCACCAAAATTAGGTCGTTCATCACAACTCTGCATTCTCATAACAGGTTCTCTGAAATATCTATGACCCTCTTCCGGCAAATCAGTCCAAACTGCATCAACAAGAATGCTATGATAATGTATAGAATCTACTTCAGACTCTCTGTGATTATTATTAATCCCAGTATTCCGATTTTAATCGATATGCATCCCAATATGACCGTTCCCTAAACCGATACCCTGCCTATGATTCATATTTGGAACTGGAGAACTCGCAGCTCCGCGACCAGAAAACATAGTAGGATTCGATGGTAAACTAAAAGAAAGGTAAGTATTATAACCCCTTGTCACAGCAAAAGAAACCGAAGGACGACTGGCGCTAAAAGCAGCCACAATATCAACCGATGTACATTGTATAATCGATGATGACGTTAAAACAGGTGCAACAAGAAGTTCATCAGCTGAACTCCATGTTGTATTTGGAAATTTAAAAAATGTCAATAATTAAAATTTTAAAATTTAAATTTTTAAAATTTAATAATTTTAAAATTTAAAAATTTTAAGCGATCTCTCAAACTCTCAAGATTACCGATATCACTGGTGCGACATGAACGTAAAATCCCTTTTAAATCATCAATAGATAAAGAATTGATCCATTCATCAAGTGAAAAACCACCGAGATTTCCCTCTTATGCAGTACGTTCAGCCATGGAATCACCAGTTAGATCCGGATTAATCATTTCAAAATTCGTACAAAATTATCTAATTAAACAATCCGAGTATGTCGTCTTTTTGATAGGACGACCGGTCGACAGTGAAACCGTGAGATTAAAACAATTTCGACGGCCGGTGCCTAGGATCGAACCCGGATCATTGGCATGCTAATCGAGCACTCTAACCGCAAGGCCGTCGGTTATTCTTTTATAATTTAATTGTTTTGAAAATTTTCCTATTGTTCAAGTATGGCCATTTTGTCCATCGAAGAACACAGAACGAAAACTTATTGTTAGCAAGAAACCTTTTCCTGAATTATTTTTACAACCAGTAAGCAAAGAAGTTGATGAATTGAAAAATGGAGTAGACTTTGTAGTATTAAGTTTGGATTCCTCTATCCGCATTCAAGTCCCGGTGATTTGTGGAACGTGTGATCTACCAGCAAAGGCTCTTTTTTTGAATTTGCAATGCTTCAATGCAGTGTACGGCTGCCAGAAATGCAAGGTTAGAGCAGAAACATATGAACAAACCTCGATCCGTGTATCCCCATTTGGAGGACACCTTGATGAACGAACTCACGAGCATACAAATAACTTTGCAGCTGAGGGAGCACACTATGATTGTGCTCCATGTGGAGTTGAAGGACCAAGTGCTATCGCCATTTGTCCCAAACTACATTCGCTGTACTGCAGAAGATTCAATGCATGCCGTGTTTTTAGGTACAGCAAAATTATTAATGGTTTTATGGTTCTCACCACATTTCAGTAACAAGGAATAATCGCTCTGAAAGTACAAGAAAGTAGTTGATAAATACATTCTTTTGGAAATGTCGTGAGTGCTCCAATATTAATGGTACGGAATGTAATAATAATACGGAACGAGATTTTCTCGTTATTAGTGAAAAGTACTAGAGAAAGTCACTAGTAATAGGAAGCGACATCTAACGCCGGCGGAAAGAGCCAAGCGAGAGATGAATCTGGCATCGGACGGCGGCCAATCAGGCCGCTCTGAAAGTGAAGGAGACCAATCATCTAGTGAGAAGAAAGGTGGTAGGGTGAGACCATGTTTCGGAACACTAGGATGACGCGGATGGCTGTCAATAGCTGTCACCTATTTCCGAAATCCACCCAGCTGTGTTAAGGAGTCCAGGGCCGATGTACAGGCGTTTCAAATGGGTGGTTCTGAAGGGCGCCGTCGATTTAGACCAGGGACCCAGTGAGGGGTGGCCAGATCCCTCCGCGACAGACCTGGGGGGTACGTTTCCCCAATAGTCTCGCGTTACGGCGCCGCAACTGCGGCTAATGTCGGTAACCGGAGTTACTCAGACGTTGGTGAACCTCGCCCACTCTACCGTGTCATGGTGATGCTGGCTTGGCATTGTGAAACCCGCCGCCGAAAGTCCGCGAAGTCAACCAACTCCTTCGCGGCTGTTTTTCGTCAGGTTTTGCATAAAAACCTGGCTGGCGCCCGATCGTCAACGATAGAGAAGACAGCCAGAATAGTTTGGAGGATTTAACCCGGGGTGTTGACACGGGAAAAATACTCTTACAACTTTTACCAATTAAAATTAGTATATTCAGTCAACTTTCATAATATTGAAGGTAAAACTGAATAGATATGCAAAATCTATTATACGTATTATTATGGTTCGTTTTTATGGCATGCGCTTTGTGGATATTCCTTTACATATGATGAACATAGATGCCCCAAATGTTAGGTTTATAAGTTTATTATTGTATTTAATGTTAATTACGCTATTTCACCAAATTAACCTCATTGCGAATTCTGAGAAGGTTATTTTTACTCCAGTTTTTAATGAAGTATAATGTGATCGATAAACGACGACCATAGCGACAACTTAATAAATCTGAAATGATGGTATTGTACTTTATTTTGCCTCCTCTGCGTACCTTCGCCTCCAATGTTTCCAGCTGAGCCATTCTAGGTGCTAGTAATTGTTGAGAACTGGTATTGAGCGCTGTCTGTAAAAGAAAAATAAAGAAACCGTGAGTAAAGCTAGAATTCCCGATTACAAAAAATTAAGTCTCCGTTTGAAGTATTGAGTTAAACCACATAATTTTCAGTGAGGTCGCAGCACACTATGATCCACAACAATATTCCTGAAGAAGAACATACCATACGTCAATTTAACTCTAAATTTTCATACCATATCAAATCAAATCTCAATAAATATTGTTTTTAATATGAGACCCGGGCCTATGGAAGTTGTGTGAGGATGGATCAGATGAGAACAGATTTCGGGAAGCGTTGAGAGGGTCCAAGAATTCACTGCATGCGGTTTTTTAAATGGTCATAAGAAGTCAATATATTTTTTCAATAAAATCACCGAGGTGATTACAAATTGTGTCAATATAAAATGAACGGGATACAATGACATGAATCGAGCAGTACCGATAAGCAAAAGGTAATTAAATTTCCGTAGAAAAGAATGATGAGCAGTTCTGAGAAAACGCGTATACACCCCGATAGCTGGTATTCAAATAAGAGAGACTAATTTGTCACAATATGGCAGGTGATACAGTTTCGGCGGTCAGATGACTTAATTATACGGTCATCTTGATGATCTCAGGTGAATCGGTCATGTTAGCGTGAGTGCAGAGAATGGGTGAGCGATACTTAGGTGTGTGAATGTTGTAACGATGTTTCCCCGGAGTGTTCCGTAAGTCCGGGGAATTGGTTACCTTCGCCGGTTCCATAGCATCCGCGAATTTACCAGGAGGGCGCCAGCTATTTTAAGTGCGTAAAATAGCAAACCAGAGAGCCGCCTAGTTGTTAAGGATACAATTAGGAAATACCATTTAAGCCGCCTAGTTGTTGAGGACACAATTAGGAAAGACCGAATTTACCGGTGGAGGT